CTAGAAGTTTAGAAGAATATTTTTGAAGATTGCATTAATTTTAGTGGCTTTGGCTCCACCCCTCAGGCCCCAGGGGGCAGGGAACATAAAATTCAGAATTTTTGTTCCCCTTTACCCATATATGCTTTGTGCCAAATTTGATTAAATTTGGTGGAGAGGTTGCAGAGAAGAAGAAGCTGTTCAAATGTTAATGCACAGCGCACGTTGATGGATGAAAACGGATAGCAATAGGTTACCTGAGTTTACTCAGGTGAACTAAAAATGCAAGTTGTCAATTTATTACTGACCTTTGAACTTGAAAGTGGTGCATTGATTAAATATATCTTGCAAATCCAATACACAATGTGGTATTTTTCCAGTTGACATCAGTTCTGGCCTTTGATCTTTGACCTTGACATTGAAAACAAAATATATAGATCTGTATTTCCACTATAAATGATTGTTTTGAATGTGGATAGTCAAGTTGAAGATATGAAATACTTATTAATGAATAGTCAATTGCATCTTCTCGACCCTTTGTCAAGCTCGGAAAAACACCTTGAATGTATTAACATCACCGAGTGTGTGTAAATTAAAAATTACAAAATGAAAAAAATCACTGAAGCTAATAAAAGAGAGTATATAAATTTAAAATACAAATCCAATACCCATTGTGGTGTCTTTCCAGCTGACATCAGTTCTGGCCTTTGATCTTTGACCTTGGAGAAAGGTTGTCTTGATGCCAAATAAACTTATTCCAGGTAGACCATGGATTTCCGCTTGTCGAAAGATGCGACTGAAATGAAGTGTACCACTTTCTCCTGCACATTCTTAATTACTGCAAAATGGGTCCCATAGCCAAAGACTCCAGTCAGCATGTGTCAATCTGAGATACTATAAATAGTTACATTTATAAATTTTTAATATGGATGAATTAGTCATGTAAATTATCTACATATAATAAAAAAGAATTAATTACAAGACATGAAAGAATACCTACCTGTAGATCTATAACCAACTTTCAAATATTGAATGCGCCATGGATCTGGAGTTTTGTTGATTGTTCAGTACAACATAGTCACTGCGACCTAGTACTAAGAGAAGAAAAGTAAATAAAAGATCAATATTGAAATATTGTAAAAATATAATGCACAGTCTATCGGTATATCGATTAGCAGGACAAAGCCCACCCCTCCGTTTTTACACCCCAAAAGTCCTATAATTTGCACTTGAATATACGTAAATTCTTATGAAAGTATAATATAAACAACTTGATTCTTAACGGATCATACGAAACATTATTTGTTTATATTCATAATTTCACAGAATTACTAATTTGCCGATACAAAAATTCGAATTTCCTCGATGAAAACTGCAGAATGTTTTCGATTATTTGAAATGCTGTTCATATCACTTATTTAAAAGAAACATTGCATTAATTAGAACAACAAAAGATATTCATATAGATTGACGAGGAAAAATTCACCTGTACTTACGTTATTTGTCACTGTCAGCTGAGGAGCAAATCCAATACACATTTTTAGCGGGTTTTCGTTGTTAGGAAAGCGCTTGCATTTGCAATCTTGACAGCGCTTGGAAGTCATACATCCTGGCGCAATGCAATCATGACCATAAATCTTGCCTGCGTTTGAAAAACACATCATGACCAAGCCAAGATTGACGCTTGACATTGCATCCTGACTTGGCCAGGATTGACGCTTGAAGAAATCTTGACTGCGTTTGGAAGTAATATATCCTGGCGCAATGCAATCATGACCGACCAAGATAGATGGTAATGTTGTCAATCCTGGCTCGGTCAACATTGAATCATGACCCGGCCAAGATTGGATGGTCATGTTTTCAATCTTGACTTGGCCATGTTATCTAATCAATCTTGACTGAGCCATGTTATCAATCCTGACCTGGCCAAGATAGGATGGCCATGTTATCAATCTTGACTTGGTCATGTTATGTTATCAATCCTGACTTGGTCAAGATTGAATCATGACCTGGCCAAGATAGGATGGCAATGTTGTCAATCTTGACTTGGTCATGTTTTCAATCCTGACTAAGCCATGTTATCAATCTTGACTCGGGCAAGATTGAATCATGACATGGCCAAGATAGGATGGCCATGTTGTCAATCCTGACTTGGTCAGGATATGATGGTCATGTTATTAATCTTGACGGGGTCAAGATTGAATCATGACTTGGTCAGGATAAGATGGTCATGTTATCAATGTTGACTTGGTCATGTTATCAATCCTGACCTGGTCAAGATGGTAAAAATCATGACTTGGTCATGTTTAAATCTTGACATGGTCAGGATTGATAACATGACCAGGTCAAGATCGTTTTTCAATGAAATATATAGAACATGACTTGGGGGTCCCCTGTGGCTTTCCATAGTTTCTAACTGAAAGACGCCCTACTTTTACTTCAGAATCAATTATGTGTAGATCTCACATACTTGCAGTTAGCAGCTTTTATGAATGCATCAGGCAAAGAAGTCTGTGTTTGTGTATTTTCATATGCGTGAAAATACAATGAACAACATTCTAGTCGAAAATCATATCTTCAGTTTAAATAAGTTTCATGTTCACGAAAGTAAAAAAGAATTCTTTACTTAACTCTTACATTGGAGTTTCTAAATGTGCAGTGATTGAGGAAAACGCAAATTTTGTCACACGTGACAATTTACTGGTATACATTTTTTCAACCTTGATACATGTAATAATATCAGTGAACACTAGCCCGTTATGCAAATTATCCCATGTTTCCCACTATCGTTGCTGCCCTGGCATACTATACTAACTAGACAGTGACTCCTTAAATATAAAAAATGATTGTATATGCATACATATACATTGTATTAGTAACGTTACAAAAAACATAGTCACGTTCACTCGGAAAACATTTGACGTAGCACAAAAGTAACATGACGTCATGATTTCACGGTTGACCTATAATTGAAATAAATTTTTAAAAAACATACTAAGAGTTGAGGTAGGACCATAAAAATTCATATTTGACAACTCCTAACCTTGCTCTATCAAACTCCATGAAAAACTCATAAATGTGTAAAAAAAAAATTTAAAAAAATTTAAGCTGGGCGCAGTCAAATATATGAAATCATAACAATATACACTGTCATTTTTTAAAGACAAAAATAATTCATTACAAAATTCATTTCAAAAATAATTGCAAACATGCAATCGTAGATGTTAAGGACGTCTGTTACAACGCACTTTGAAAAAAAAAAAAAAAAACTTTGAAAAATTTTTTCAAAAATGGACCAAATGCACTTTGAAAATTTTTTTCAAAGTGCGTTAAAACTGTACATCATAATTTTACACCATGTAAACATTTAACGCACTTTGAAAAAATTTTCATGAAACAAAAGGAATTAGACTTATATTTTAGAAATAGACAACAGTATTAACCCCTTGCAACGTATGATGTGATATAGTGATGCGATTATATGTGTTATTACTTTATGTGTATGTTAGTTTTTTCTGTGTGGAATTGACGTAATTTGTATCGGGATCTTTTTTGGGAAGGAATACTCCGCTTTGCGGTGCCCTTACTTTGATGTGTTTTTTTCTAAAAACTGATGGATTGAAGAAAACCAAGAAACGGAAAACGAAGAAAAGACTGGCTGAATTAAGGTCTATCAGCTCAACTCTTTATCATTCCCACCCAGATATATCTACTATAACTTGTAACCTTAAGTGTTTTTTGAAAAAAAGAGATTCTAAATAAATAACTGTTCAGTAAATCGAAATTTTGTTCTTTTAAAATATTTATGATCATTTTCAGGAAAATCAGAATATTAATTACTAGCTGTAAATTCCTTATTTTTTGCGAGTGTTTTTTATCGTGAACTGGCTCTCAAACGTCAAATCGCTAGAATTATAATTCGCGAATGAACGGTTTATTAACAGATTTTACATAGATTTAAGCACCAGAAAAATAAAAAGCGAGAAATATATTTTTTTCGCGAGTGATACTTCTCGCGAAATTACGCAGAAATTAATTCCTTGCTTATATTAAGGAATCTATAGTACCTGTCTGCTTTTCGATGTTAATTTGATACCATATATATCTCTCTGTTAAACTCCAGGTGTTTAAAAACACAAGTTTTGCCAAAATTATAGAGTTAGTATCCCAAATAAGTAAGGTTTTATGAAAATTCATATAAATATCTATAAATTTTTTTAGAATCATTCCAATATGTTAACATTTGAGAATTGACTAAGAGATAGGCGGAAGAACAATACTATCGTTCGTAGTTCTTTACGACATTGAATGTTGACCTTTTGACCCCAAATTCAAAAGGGGTCTTCCTAAGGCCACAGGGATTCTGTTATGTTAAATTTCATTGCAAATGTTCAAAGGGTTGGCGAGATATCGTGTGGAAACGAAAGCGTTACAGAAAGACGGATGGACGGACAGCTAGACGGACGGACTGATAGACCCAAATTAATATCTCCCACTTTTCAAGCTGGGGACAAAAAGTATCAAATCAGGTTCAAATGATAATTTATCATACCTAAGATTTGTAGGAATATTGACTAAGCCAAGAATTTTTTTTTCAAAGTGCGTTAATATGGTCGATATTAACGCACTTTGAAAAAAAAATTATTTTTTCAAAGTGCGTTAACCTGGTCCCAAAATTTAACGCACTTTGAAAAAATTTTTCAAAGTGCGTAATTTTTTCAAAGTGCGTTGCCACAGACGTCTGAAGGGAATTTCTGAAAAAATCATTTGGAGTTATGTTTCATTTGATATACCTTAGCAGTACGATTTAACCAGTTCCAGAATCGAGTTATTCTTGCATTGTTTCCTCTTTCTTCCAAAAGAAGAAAGACTGTCATTTTGTGTTACTCTTTGAATATTCTAGAAAATAGGAAGTGTTTTTGATATAATTACTTAAAAATGTAATATCATTTTGACATCATGATTTACAGAACGGCAAGTTCTTTCGAAAAATATTGTTTAAATGAAACAGTAATGCCTTTTTTTATTTAAGACATGTGTTTAACGTTTTGACATATATAGTACTAAGTCATCTTATGTGACTTTTATTTGACTCATATATATAGCAGACATTCTGAGACACATAAAAGTGTCTCCAAATAGCAATTATGCTTAAAATATAAACTTCTAACATTTCAATCTTAAAAATATTCTAGATTCAAACCATCAAATCAAACAAAGAAAAGTTTTTTTAGTTCTCCATTACAATCTATTCACCTCTCCTTTCTAACTTCGTGGCGTCATTGTTTGAGATAATAAAATACACATCAAAACAATTCCTTATACATACATTTGACATTCTACATACAATATGAATACTATCATTCTTGTCAGTATTGTTTTGCATTTTCAGAGATATTGTTTGGAAATTCTGTTCCCCCTTCTGGGGAATGCCTTTTATATTCGTCCTTTTCAGAATAATATTTGACTGATATTGGTTTAAATGGATTTGTTTCTTCCTTGCGATTTCCGAACTTTGTTATCCAGATAAAGGATCCAGGCTTCAACCCTGTATATTATCAGAAAAAAGAATAATCATAAACTTATAGGTACTATCTCTTTCTCAAAGATTAACTGAGGTGTACTAATTTTTATTTCAATGGTACCTTTCTGAAAATTATATTTCTCATTTAGTGAAATAAAATGCAATTCACAGAAAACTTGAACTCATTATTATTTGGTTTTTATTTTTATATTTAAAATGTAATATCAAAACCAATATGATGTTTGATTTATTTTCAAATAATATTTACACAGATTAAGTAAGACGGCTAAACAATATTTTATTTTATCTTTTAAAAAAAAACTCAAAATAAAATGACGTCATTTGTTAATACATGTATTTATTACAAACCTCTATATTTTGGAGTATTCCTTCCAAAAAAGAAAAGAGCACCAAAGAGAAGTCCTGATAGAACAGCAATCACAAAACAGAATACAAGGAAACTTGGCGGACCAGTGGCTACAAACAGCTGTTAACAAAATTATTTCGTATGACACTGTTAATCATGTAAAAACCATTGTACCTTACCATCACCTTATAAAAAGAGCTATTATAATGTTATTACTTTTCACATAATTAAATCATAGATTATTTTAGATAGAAGGCAAGGCAGAAGAGATCGCTTAATCTATCAAATCTAAAAATTGTTCGAGTTATACAAATATGCCAGTAAAGATTGTTTTAGTAAATGTTAAATCGTATCTTTTCGTGGTGCCCAATCATTATACATGTAGTTTTAAAAAAATCTGGCTAGGTTTTTAAAATGTTTCATACATGACAAAAATGTTTTAAAATGCCATTGCAAGGTTTCAATTAAAAAATATATATATATAAATTTCACATTTTGTTGGCAGAAAAATGCATCAAAACATATAATGAACATGTATGGCAATTTGTCCAATTTGTCCAAATAACCAGTAAACTGATCCTAGAATTGATCTTTTTATATACCGATCGATCCAAATAAAGAAATATACTTTTTTATTCATTTCGCTTCCTGACAGGCTTTCGTTGAATTGTTAAGCTGCAAGCAATGCAAAAAACTAATACAATGCAAGATGGTTTTCGGATTTTTCTCTTTATAAATTGATTGAAAGGAAAAAAATCTCTGGGACTTAAGAATGCAGTTGAGTACAATAAAGCAATCCATACAATAAAATGGAGCTGCCAGTTTTTAGCTCACCTGAGCCGAAGGCTCAAGTGAGCTTTTCTGATCAAAATTTGTCCGTTGTCTGTCGTTGTTGTAAACTTTTCACATTTTCATCTTCTTCTCAAGAACCACTGGGCCAATTTCAACCAAACTTGGCACAAAGTATCCTTGGGTAAAGGGGATTCAAGTTTGTTCAAATGAAGGGCCACACCCTTTTCCAAGGGGAGATAATCATGAATTTGTTAAAAATTAATGGCATTTTTAAAAAAGATCTTCTTCTCCAGAACCGCTGGGCCAGGAAAGATGAAACTCATGTGGAAGCATCCTCAGGTAGTGTATATTCAAGTTTGTTCAAATCATGACCCCCGCGGCAAGGATGGGGCCAAAATGGCCGACCCAAGTTTTACATAGGAATATATAGGAAAAATCTTTAAAAATCTTCTTCTCCAGAACCACTAGGACAGGAAAGATGAAACTCATGTGGAATCATCCTCAGGTAGTGTTGATTCAAATTTGTTCAAATCATGACCCCTGGGGCAAGGGTGGGGCCAAAATGGCTGACCCAAGTTTTTCATAGGAATATATAAGAAAAATCTTTAAAAATCTTCTTCTCCAGAACCACTGGGCCAGGAAAGATGAAACTCATGTGGAATCTTCCTCAGGTAGTGTAGATTCAAGTTTATTCAAATCATGACCCCCGGGGCAAGGATGGGGCCAAAATGGCCGACCCTAGTTTTACATAGGAATATATAAGAAAAATCTTTAAAAATCTTCTTCTCAAGAACCACTAGGACAAGAAAAATGAAACTCATGTGGAATCATCCTTAGGTAGTGTTGATTCAAATTTGTTCAAATCATGACCCCTGGGGCAAGGGTGGGGCCAAAATGGCCGACCCAAGTTTTTCATAGGAATATATAGGAAAAATCTTTAAAAATCTTCTTCTCCAGAACCACTGGGCCAGGAAAGATGAAACTCATGTGGAATCTTCCTCAGGTAGTGTAGATTCAAGTTTGTTCAAATCATGACCCCCGGGGCAAGGGTGGGGCCAAAATGGCCGACCCAAGTTTTACAAAGGAATATATAGGAAAAATCTTTAAAAATCTTCTACTCCAGAACCACTGGGCCAGGAAAGATGAAACTCATGTGGAATCATCCTTAGGTAGTGTAGATTCAAGTTTGTTCAAATCATGACCCCCGGGGCAAGGGTGGGGCCAAAATGGCCGACCCAAGTTTTACATAGGAATATATAGGAAAAATCTTTAAAAATCTTCTTCTCCAGAACCATTGGGCCAGGAAAGATGAAACTCATGTTGAATCATCCTCAGGTAGTGTAGATTCAAGTTTTTTCAAATCATGACCCCCGGCCCTGGGGATAGGGTGGGGCCAAAATGGCCGACCCAAGTTTTACATAGGGATATATAGGGAAACCTTTTAAAATCTTCTTTTCAAGTACTTCAAAGCTATGATTAGTGATACCCGGGGTATTTATATGGAATCATCCTCAGGTAGTGTAGATTCTAGTTTGTTCAAATGATGAACGCCTGGAAGGGGGGGGGGTAAATTCAAGCCCAATGTGCTCAGGTGAGCGCTGTGGCCCCTGGGCCTCTTGTTTTTATTAGCAAATAACACCGTGCATGACATATTGTTACTTGTCTATGTAAAATAAACTCATTATCTGCATACAAGACAAGCGTCTTGATGGCTGGAAACCTAAGGGTACTTAAAAGACATAGAAGAACTCTAAAATCCCGACACGAAATGCAAGCATGTTAAATTGGAACAAAAAAAAAAGATTCGTTGCTGTTTCAGTAGTAAAAGATAATGCTTTATTATTTAGTAGTTTACTTACGTTGCCCACAATAACTGGACACAGTGTTTCACCCAGGGCCGCACTAACTACCAGGCAGGAGGCTATAGGAGCTGACAATAATCAAATCAAAAGCATTTCACTTTTCTTAAATGCGTATTGATGAATATTTTTCCAGATAAATTCGTTTAACATGAATTTTTTCGAAATGAAATTCATAATCTATAAACTAAAAAAATTCATTTTTTTTCCGAATGAAATTATCGTTCGGTTATGTGTTATTATTTTAAGATATTGACAGGATGAAATTTAGCTATAACTTGAATAAAAACTTTAATTCAGGCTCACCATTGATGTCAATAAATAGTTCAGTAAGTGACATAATAGTTGGTGACATGCTGCTTAGAAAGAGTCCAAATACGCATGTGCCGAAATATGCTATCACATGGTTCCCTCGAAATATCAATGTGAATAAAAGGGCGAGAATACATCCACCCTAAAAATTAAAAGATATTGTAAGGATGATGCGATATAGAGGAACAAATGTACTTTGTATACTATGATTTATAATGCTATATATTCTGATGGTTTGTATGGGAAAAATTAATAACTTGAGTATGAATTTTATCTTTGAAAGTCACTATGCTTGAATATGCATACTATATAGAAAATCGTTTCTATCCACAATAACATGAAATCGATGCATTCCTATAATTTACATTTTCACCATAAATTGACGTTGCTTTAGTTTATTAAATGCAAAATTAATTCATCAGGTGGGGTATTGTATTATTTCTTTGCCTGTTGTTTGAGTGATGCAGACAAAATTATAAAACATACAGTATTTTTTTTTTCAGTATGATGATGTTCATAAATAATCAATTAACAATCAAAATGTATGCATTATGAAGGGGAATAGGCAGGAAATATATATAAGCAGCAGAAAAGTACAATTTAAAATGGTTGTAATGAAGGAATGGTATCTTTTAACGCAGATAATCGATCTGAATATTACATGTACCTTTATTATGTTTTGAGACAATAATTGAAGTGATTAAACTGAAGAAAAACAAATTGACCAGGAATAATATTTCTTTTTGGTATGAGTTAAGGGAACAATAACAGTTTGCCACAAATTGAATTTTATCGATTTTTAATTATACTACAGCTATGTATTCTAGTTTTATCATCAATCGATTCCAAAACGAGAAAATGTGTTTTTAAGACATAATGCACCGTGTACAATTCAATTTAAAATCGAATTATTTATTATATCTCTTCTAGGGCTGTTTTGCCCATTACATGGCTGCACACATCTTGTCAAAATACATCAAGTCTATTTTAAAGGTGTCTAGATTTTGGTTACTTTTTACATTGTCATTAAGTACATTCTCTCTGGAATATATTAACTCTGGAAATTAAAAAAAAAACTATTGATGTTTACACTTTAGTTTCAAAACTCAAACAAAGACTAAGAGAAGATAATAAATGCAAGTAAAAAAAAAAAGAAGAAGAAGAAGAGAAGGAAGAACCACGTGGCGGGCCAAAGCAGCATGAATCAATACTCACTAAATTACAGGTGAGCATAAAGGTAGCAGTCAGTCTAGTGGCACATGGAATGGCGATCAGTCGGCCCAGGGCAAAGGTTCCCTGTGAAGTATATTAGTAAATATTTAAGCATAGAATTTTTATTTTCTGACGTCTTCAGTCGTATAATAGCACCTGGTCATGCTAACAAATTCAAAAATGCGCTTTATAATTAATTCTGTCGACATGGACAGGTACAGTTATTTTATTGACAACAATATCCAAAATCAAGATATTGTTGATATTGATATTTAGTTTGCTTTGGTTTTAGTTTGCCTCCATGGCACCTGATCCCACCTCCGATGTTTAGGAGGTCTGTGTTTGCTCTGCTCTTATTTTGTGTTGTTTTTTGACCTTTGAGATTGAATACTGTTCGTTACCTCAATATCCTTCTTAATTAATCAACGTTTCTGTCGATCGAAATTTTATTGTCATATAAATAATGAATTTTTATAGTAAATTGAGCGCCTTCACAACAGTTTATTGGTATGGTTAACAGACGCCAGATCCGGACCCATTTTGGGTCCGTGTAAGACTTTAAGTAACAATTCTTTCTAAAAATGATTAAGAGTTTTAAGTGTTAATATTATAGTTCAAATTTCTGAATTGCAAAAACTCAAACTAATTTGGTATATTGAAATTTAATAATTTAGATCAAAAATCTAAATTATCAAATTTCCAAGCAGGTTTACAATTTTAATTTTCTAGATGTTTGCCTTAACTATTTAAAATTCAAATCTCCGAAAACGATTTTCGTATTTTAAACTTTTGAGTTTTTAATCTACCATTTGATCACGAAGTTTACGCTTAACTATCCAAAATTCAGTATCATTTTTCGTCTTTCAATTATTTAAAATTTACTTCGAGCTTCAAAATGGTTGGAGTTTTTTGAAATTTTGTATTTTGATTCAAACATATAAATTTCAAGTAACCAAAACACCTTGAGTTTTTTTTAATTTTACTTAAAATAGAAATATCCAAAATATCAAATTTTCAAACCCGATTTGAATTTTGAATATCAGTTCAATATTTTAACTGTGTAAAAGATCTTTTGCTTGACCAAAAGACTTTTTGAAATGGTTTCGAAATTCAAACAGGTTTGGAATTTGGTATTTTAAATATTTGAAGTAAAAGACTAAAACCCAAAATGTAAAAAGTGTTTAAGAATATTTAGAATTTGAGTGTTTGAAAGTTCTAAATTTCTAAAAATATAAAACGTTTGAAAGTTGAAAAATAGAAGTTTGAAGGAAATTTTAAGTAATCATAAGACAAAATATGTTACTGAAATTTGGATAGTTAAGCGTAAACTTTCTGAACAAACCGTAGATTAAAAACTCAAATGTTTAAAAAACAAAAATCGTTTTTTGGAAATTCAAAGTGTGTAAAAATGTAAAACATTCAAATGATAAAACCTGTTTTGAAATTTGGAAAGTAAGATTTTTTTAACTAAAATATTGAATTTCAATCATACCTAATCAGTATGCGTTGTTGAAATTTAGAAATTTAAACAATTATATTAACATTCTAAAACTCTTAATCATCTTAAAAATTTTAATTGTTAAGTGTTACACGGACCATTTTGGCGTGGAAAGGTTAATAACTCAAATAGGTACTCGGAGGAAAAAGACAAATCAATTTTACAAAATGATGTCCAAATAATTATATCATTTTTCTTTTCTTTTCATAATGTTTAAAGTAGAAAATTGTAGTGTCGGAATATCTAACCGAACATTACTTTGGCAGACACATCCATGTAGTTATTTGCAATTGGATGGTCAGGAAATAAATGTCTTCAAATATACACACACACTTACCCAGAAACAAGCGTTCAGGTACGCTCCCTCTCCTTTTTGCAACCCTTTCACATTTTTTACGGCAAATGAATATATATAGTCAGCATAGGAGGACTGTGAAAACATTAAAACATTTTTATCAAATAAAAATATAGTGTAGAAACAATGTATAGAATAGTTAAGTTTTTAACAGTGTAAAACAGCTGATTTTTTTTTTCGAATAATTATTTTTTCCCTTTGCAAACCTATTACCTAATATTTCATATTGTCAGGTGATTTGCTTGAAAGTTTAAGTTTTATCAGAGATAAAATTTACAATAATTGATCATGATTATTAGGAATAAGATCTTTGATATTTGAATGTTATATTCATCAAAATAGATTGTTACACACCTGCAATCCGTCGTAGAAGAACAGGGATACTGAAGTAATTAGAATAATTATCACGATTTCTCTTGTTCCACAGCAGAAGCAGTAGGTTTGTCCACTTATATCCCTCATATCTAATAAAGTATACCAAAAATAAAGTTATAGAAATAACCAACGTGTCAGAAACATGTACCATTTTATAAACAATTTAAGACTCTCTGCCTTTAGTAACATTTTGTTTTTATTTTACACTTTGGCATACACGTGTAGGCTTAAAAATACAAACAGGAAACACTATTCAAAAGTGTATAAGACCATATAAAGATATTCTGAGATCTTATACTCCAGAAAAGGATTCCATTAATATCTTCTTATGTATACTTTAAATTTAATAATTGTTCATAGTTTTATAGCCTCATTAGTCTTATTAAGTAGGTGACTTCAGCTGAACAATTTAAGTGTGTTCCGAAACATGTATAGTTCTATTGCAGATTCATGTTCTTCTTGTACATGTAAGCAGTGTATTGTTCGTGTTCATTCATTGCATGCATTTACCTCTTTTCTAACTTAGGCGGTCGATGTCCTTAATCTGTGTTTGAATACATTTTGTTTCAATTGTTTCAATTTATACTTTCAATATTTTATATTCAATGTTCGTTATGTCCACCCTATTTCAATAGAATTGAAGATGAAACACACATTTGTAATACGTGCTTTCTCTCATATTTGTTTTAAATGTTTTGGGTAACTTTTTTTTTTAGATAAATCAAGCTTAAACTACTTAATTGTGTTTGTCGTTTGTCTACTATGTTTTTTCAACCTTCCTTACTTTGATCTGATGAATCAGAACGAACGGACGCCATGCTGACTGATTGAGACACCGCGGCTCCGGATGATATAATATGCTTCTTCTCCAAAATAATCACCACTATTACAACAGCTGTAAAGAAAAACTGTCAAAAACGCCTAGTTAGATGAAAGAAATATTAAACCATTAATAGATCAACAGATTGTATGTTAATGCTAATGAAAAACATAATGCATCAACGCCTGGTAATGCTAAGCACGCTTTTGTATAATACAATTTACATGAATACATTCAATCCATACGTGTATCGATTTAGTGAAATTGGTGTACCCATCATTTGGAATACTAAAATATCATTAAAACTGAAAAGTTATGTAATCGATTACCAATGCAGCCTAAAGAAGCTGCCAATAAAGTCTTTTGGTTTTATTTAAAATATTTTTTTTACTATATCTAAATTGTCGTTCTTACTTGGATACTAGCCAGGATGAAGAAAGCTCTTTCTGAATGGCTAAGATGTTGAGCACGTGACACTGACGGTTGCGTTGATACTACTGGTTGGCTTACATTCGATGTTGTTTCAAAGTCTTTTGTTAATTTATCATGAGATGGCTGAGAGCAATCAACATCAAGGGTAAAAGGTGCAGCTATCATGGGACTAATGAATGCTCCGAGACCATAACAGAAGTGCATTGCCTGATAATACATTTGCATTAAAACAAGAAACTTCGGTTTTCTCATCATACCATATCAAAAAATTATTTTCTTCTTTGCAAGATATCTTCTAAGCTCTGAATGAGATAGTTAACTGAAAAAAGCAAAGAAATATGTAAGTCCTACCTGCAGAAATGGAGAGACATTTGTTCCAAATCTCAAAATCATTCTGAGGTTAGCAACACAGTCTATACAACCCATACACCATCCCATCAACATTAGATTTACCAAGAGTTCTCCAAACTCGGTACAGGCGGGAACTAATAGCGTGGTGAAGGGGAGACCAATCATCCCGATCAACATAAGCACGTGGACAGGGACAATTCTACAACATATTGTACAACTGGGTGATTGATTGATTGATTGAATAATGGATGAATTGATTGATCAACTGATCTATAAATTGATTGATGACTTAAACTTCCATGTCCTTTTTAAGTAAGATTGTTGAAGGTCCCTTTGGAATTCATCAAACCGAGAGTAGAGATAATTAATAGCAATATTGTATGCAGATATAGTTATTATATTATAATACTTATGCATTTATGTAAGATTAATTAAATGTTAATTGTGTTGTTAATGGTATCGCTCTCGGTGTCATTCTATAATGTCATGATGAATTTCATTTTATACAAATACTGTTAAAGTACTTTTTTCATACGATTGGGGGGGGGGGGGGGTAAACATTTATTTAAAAAGTCTGATGTTGCATTTGAATCGTAATTTCAATGTTATGTTCTTTTCCAACGAATATGTCCATTTTGAGCTGATCATTTGCTTAAAATAGCGCCATCATTAATAAAAGATATCTTATAAGCAAGATTATAAGTCTGGTTCCTTTGTATAGATTTCTATTGAACTCGCTGCTTAACAGCGTTAGTTTCTTTTTATTTCAAAAGCGTAGCATGTTTAAATTACTTGCAACAACTGTGTAAATTATTCATGGAAATCACTTTTCTCCCTGCACTGCTATTTCACAACAGACTAAACGTTTTCAAGCAAGTATCAAAAACACCCCACATGATTTCAAGAGTACATGTACATGTCGAAAAAATTGATAATTAGTTTTCAATCATCTGTTTTGACAAGCTGAAGTTTCATAGAAATGTCAAGTCTGTTTTGTTGATTCACTTTTCAGATGTCAAGATATTCAATTTTGCTTTAATCTTAAAAGCTTTCATTATTTCCGTACGGTGAAACTGAATGGAACTAAGGTGTCCTTAAATTTCCACTGTCCGTCTGTCTGTCAAAAGTAAATTAATTTTTACATCCTGATAGTGATCTTCGTGTATCGAGAAGCACTTTGTTCTAACTTGTGCCCTAGTTTATTGCTTAAAGCTTCTTTATCAATTTTAATATAGCTAATCAGAAGACTAATCAATAGATATCTCTAAAATAGTGTGTCGAAGACTGAAACAAATAAACGAGAAATTGCCAACAAGTACGAGGGCCGTTCAAAAATTACGCGGACTTATTGCACAGAAAAAAATATTTGACGACATAATCGGGCTAAATGTCACACATAATATAAAAGAATCTTTACTTAATATATGGTCTTCAAAATTTCATATCAAAATGTCGTAAATTGGTATCAATTTTGAGTGATTTTTCAGGACATATCATTTAGTCACGGAGCAGCAAAATCTTCGACGTCACAGGCATTATAAAAAAATATGTGATTGATCTCTCATTTTCTCAACATTTTCCCTTGAGTACCTGTACAGTTTGAGTTACCTTATCTATTCAACATCCAAACACCATTTCTTGTCTAGCTTAAAATCTAATAAACGAGTAAAAATATTCTTTTTTGTTTTAAAACCAAAAACTGCAGGTATTTATGAGATAAAGTGTGATATTCGTGACTCTCAACCCCGATCTTTACAGTTCGGATCAAGTTTTCGTCGAAAATCTTCTTCCCGTTCTCCCGTTAGCATTTTTACAGAGGTCTAACGGTCTAAAATTTCAGTTTGCTATTTGTGGACGAATGTCACGAATACCCTAGTTTGCTACATGTTTTATTATGCATATTTGCGTGGACCCTGAGGTCCACGCAGTAAATATATCAGGGTCCACGCAAATATGCATAATAAGCGAGGTTAAACAGGATGCACTGGACAAACTTCGGGATATGCATGCGCGGGAATGCTAGAGAGTTTGCTTCTAAGACAACTTGCTCGAAGAACAATTCGCCCTAATCGAATTAGAATATGCAATTTCATTGAAAAATCTGGCTTTTCAATTTGCACAATTTATCGTATTTATATATTTATTTGCGGATCCGAATTTCCCATACATTTATACTTTTATTTTCAAATTGAACATTGATTAATCATTCTATGGCACAAGCACTTTAAGAAGTGGGAAGATCTTGCAGTATGTACTACTGATTAGATAACTTAATAACTTGAATTGAAAACTTCATTCAACGACATGTTCTAGCTTTTAAAATCGGCATAAATTTTGTGCATCAAGACTCACAAAATAAAATTAATATACAACAATCCAAATATAGCTTGATACATGCCTGTAGAAACAGTTTTCCATGTGTGTGTGTGTGTGGGGGGGGGGGGTAAAATTTAAAAATCGCTTACTACAGAGTTATGCTACAGGTGTACAATCCGATCTATTTTCTGACAGATGTATTCCATCGTATAAGTCCAGAACAGATATCATGTCCCCGCCGATATGGGTTACATGTGTCAAAATAGCCCGATTTTTTTAAATTAGAAAATTATATAGGCTATCCGGGGATAAAATTTAACAATTTTGCTATGAATGTACTATCAGTCAAAGTAGGCAGGTCATTGTGGAGTGTAAAAGAACCTACTTGAATATTCACTAAACCAAGAAATTTTCTCTAATTGAATTTCGGTTGGAAACACATGCATATGGTCCACGTATTGCAGTCCTTTTTTAAGGGACAGCAACTTGTTTGGATTTAACAAAAGTGTGGTGCGCCGTCAATCTCAGGAGACATCATTTTCACAGTCGTTTTCACGGGAATCGCATCAGAGAAAAATATTTCTGTTAATACTTCAAATATCACGTCAGAAATCTAAATACATGATAATAGAACAATTTAAAGATACATTTGAGAAACTTGTCGAAAAATATCCCGAATTACAGAAAATAAATGAGCTAAATTTTGGATTCCGCATGCTTTTGCTTTAAATTTTTTGTCGTGCTCCGTAACTCTCCATCAGCGATATCATCATACCGATAATTTTAGTAGAATTTTTTTAAAATACAGAAATTTTGCCCAAAATTTATTGTAATCTTTAAGATACATATTTCTGTGAAATTTCATAACTATATGACGTCTGTAAGAGTAAATAATAGCACAGTCCGCGTAATTTTTGAACGGCCCTCGTACATCAAATTAAAAAGAAAAGATTTTCGCAAATCTATAAGTCTTTGACAATTTGTGTGGTTTTCTTATATACGAAAAGCACACAAAGTGTTAAGATCGTTTTTTATCTTTGTTTGCATTGGAATCGAATCAATTGTTGATTTCACCATTTTGCAAAGTTAATTTTTGAAGTGCAAAGAATTATATATGCATATTTTTTATACTCTTTTAAAGAGACCTTGCCTGACATTGGTATTGTTATGACTTCATCTACATATCTATAGTTTTACATACATTGGGTAACAGGTGTTAACCAGACGCAATCAAATGATATTAACATAAAAAAAAACGGAATATCCTAAAGGACGTCGGCTGTCACAGTTTAGCTTTATCTAGGTCAAAGGTGAATATTGCCAACAATGATCAATTATTTGATGTAATTTCCCATTTTCCCATCAAAGTCCAAAAAACTTCGCTAATAGTTTGACAATAAATCCTCTATTCAGTTAAAGTAAAATATTTTCCTCAGTTAATAATTACAAAATTTTTGCCATCTAGAGCGATATTTCACGATTGATTAAGTATACGATCATCTTTGTTTTTTTTTTTCAAACAAAACGCTAACATTTTACCATTTTAAATGTTAAGATTTTGAACAATTAATACAACCAAGATATTTGACATAATAGAGACATTCTTCCTTTATTTAGGTATAATTGAAATTCGGATATATTCATACATTGTATATTGTGATTGGTGATCTTCAGTCTTACTTTGTTTGCAATCAGTATGAATCCACACAGAAGCACAGTGAAAAACTATGCTTCGAGTTTATAATTGACAATATCTCTTTGAGATCTTTGAGAAGAAGGTCTTGAGGGTCAACTTCAATATAAGGGTATGTGGTTCCTATGCGGAAGCTTGCTAATATAACTTGGTAGTCATTTGTTAACCACTTGTCCTCCAATGTTGACCATATGACTGTCAACCATATTAAAAGGTTTACAGTTGACAGCTTCTTTCTATCCTAATGTAAACTTCGCATGATAGTTGACAATTCTACTGTCAATCGTTGATAGTTGACAGTTTTCATTGTAATCTTCTGTTAACAGTAGACAGTTGACAATTAAGAGATTTACTCTTTTCACCTAGCCTCTAAAATATATTTGACGCTACAATAGATTTCAAAGAGCAACGCTACAATAGGAAGTCACCATTTTAAAGTTTGCAAAAAATAGTTCTTACTCTCAACCGCTTTTGAGATAATACAAACGCTAAATAAAGCAATAAAAATAAAACGAAGTTTTATCTACATAAAATAAGTATTAGTAGTAATGACTTTGAAAACTTCATAAGTCAAAGAACATAGTTCATTAGCGTAAGGATTTTTGATAATCAGTGTTACCGTAGTTCTCTACACATGGCACAGACTGGCCTGTTTGTTTACATTCAGCTGCGGTACCAAGTGTGACAAAATCCGTGGTATTATTGAAAAACTCACTGTCAATGTCTTAACATTTATATTGATAGATCAGAATATAAACGTGATTCATAAGAAATCCATTCTACTCTGTAAATGAGCCCGGCTCTCTGTACTTCTGAGTACTTTGATAATAGAACGTATGGAAAGTGTCAACTGTGAATCGTCGACCTGTCCCCGATTGGCACTAGGGAATATGGAAAGTGTCACCTGTCCACGGACAAATGATGTTAAATATCAGTTATTAGGCCCCCGGATCGAAAGATCTGGTGGTATATTTTTGTCCTGTCTGTTTGATTGTTTTTTTAACTTACCCCTTAACTATTGATTGGGTGAGGCTATGGCTTTCATATTTCACAGATATATTCTTTGTGACAAACCCTTTCTTTAGGTACCACCAAATTTGACCTTTTGATCTTGACCTTGGAGTTTAACCTACTTTTAAAAATTATACCACACTTTAAAATAGGTCATAACTTTTTAACAGTTGGAGCTA